CTCCCTGGCTCTAAAACGTAGACACAGATTTGGGGGAAGGGAGGCAAGTGTATTTAAAAGAGATGAGACTCTGAGCCTCTACAGGAAAAACATTAATTTTAGGCATTTTCATGAACTGAGCCATGGCCACGCGGAACGCGCACACCCAGCAGAGGCCACGAGGACCTGGCCCGGGGCGTGCTGACCTCATTTGTAAGGGCAAGCCTGAAAATGACGGTTATCCGGGGTACCGGGCAGAACTTGTAAAGAACACAGAGGGGACTGTTTCAGGCTCATCCTTCCGCCCACATAAAGCCTCCCTTTCCAGAGCCCCACAGCGCAGCCTCACCTCCCACCGCCGGGGACAGAGAGCCCTCCCTCAGCCCGTCAACTTCCAGCCATGATTGTGCCATTACAGCCAGAACTTCCCTAAAAACTGAGGATTATTTTTTGAAAAAAAAACAGTCTTCATCAAAAGTCTGGAAGTGAGCCGAGCAGCCCACAGCTCCCCGGCATCGCCCTCCTCACCCCGTGCTCCCCTAGCTCCCATCTCCAAACAGGCCTGTGTAACCGAGGGGGTTTACGGGGTGACGCTGTGCAGAGGGGAGCCAGAAGTCAGCCCCGGGGCGGGGGCGCCCAGCCCGGCCCCCTGCGCGTGATTGCAAGGGCAAGTTTGGAGGGACGGTGGGCTGGGAGTGAGCACTGTTCAGGTGACGCCGTCCGAAGGGGGTGCTGCGTCATTAAAGCCACGTCCAGGGAGGCAGGGGCTTAGGATTGCGGGCGACTGTGAACTTGCTCGGCCCCAGCTCCCACTTTATGACCCGAGGCTCAGCGGGACGACCTGGGGGACCTTTCTTCTGAAATGCTGCCCCCCCTCCACCCCCGCCAGGACTCAGGACCCAGACGTCGTGTGTTGCCATCACTTTCCATTTAGGCTCAGAAGAGTCCCGGCTACGCAGAGCCCAGCGAAAAGGGCCAGCCGGGGTTTCACTCATTGGCTCCTCCCATCTCTCTGTCACTCAGTTTCTTCGTCTGTGAAATAGTTCCCAAACACATCTCAAAGGTTTCATGGGGAAAAATAACAAAGGAAAAAATGCTTTGGGAGGGAATAAAAAAAAAAGAACATAAATACTAAATAGAAACAAGCTCATAAACATAGAATACAAACTTGTGGTTGCCAAGGGGGCGGTGGGTGGGAAGGGGCAGACTGGGAATTCAAAATTTGTAGATACTGACAGCCATATATAGAATAGATAAACAAGATTATGCTGTACAGCACAGGGAAATAGATACAAGACCTTGTGGTAGCTCACAGCAGAAAAAAATGTGACAATGAATATATGTATGTTCACGTATAACCGAAAAATTGTGCTCTACACTGGAATTTGACACAACATTGTAAAATGACTATAACTCAATTAAAAAAATAAAAAATAAAAAAAATGTTAAAAAGAGAGAAAGAGAAGATTGTTATCCAACTATTCAGTAAAAACATCACTCTTATTTAGGTCAATTTTCATCATCTACTCTTCCTTTTCTACCCTGTAACATGAGAGTATTTCCTGTTGACTCTACTCTGGGCCACTGTCCGGCAACGCGGTTGTTCAGTCAGCCGTCCTTCCCAAGGGGCAGGAGAGGGGGTGAGGTGTCCTCCATGGGCGTAGTTACCTGGAAAACAAGCTGCTTCCCCAGAGAGGCACAGACTCCGGCAGAGGTGGGGTCCACGAAGCTTAGCTATCCATGTGTCTGCAGAGGCCTGAAACGTGCATTTGTTCCTGTCCAACGCCACTGTTTAGCATCGAGAATCATGTCTACTGTTCAGGGACACTGAGAAAAGGGACGACGCGATGTTTCTCTCCACAGGAGAAGTGAAGTCGCTGTTAACAGAGATTTCTGACTTTCCTTACAGACGGAGTTCTTATGGGGAGAAGACAGGTGTATTCATTTTTCATCACGTACTTCTATTTGAAAATCCTTTAGGACTTTAAAAACTTAATCATCTTGTCTCTTTGGGTTTGTGCCAAAACCTTGAAATTTCTCAACCCCTTTCCCTCGAAAATTGTAAAATGGCAGCACTGGGAAGGATCTAAGAGCACTTTCCTTGCACAAGGGTCCTTCTCTCGCTGTATTGGCAAGAGTTACCTGGCCTCTATCGGAATTTTTCCCGTTACGGGGAGCTCAGTACCTCGCAAGGCAGCCTGGTGCATTTATTTGCATCTCATCTGGGACAAAAGCACCTCTTCACACCAGGACAGCTTACCTGTCTGTGTTCTCTCTGGTCTGTACCCTCTGGTTTCACATTAAGAAAAGCTATTGACATCAGCCCAGTGTGGCTTCTTCAGATACTGATGACAACAGTCAGGACTTCACCCTTTCTTCTTCTGCTCACCCTGCTTTCTGGCTTTGTGCATTCCTAGAACTAAACTGTAGAAAATGTTGAAGACTCAAATAAGGGATCTTCCATTGCATTTCAAAAGTCTAGGACTGAAGTCCTAAGAATGAATGATACAGCGGAGGCCGCTGGGGCAGCTGGCTGTGGCCCCGCGGAAGGTCCAGGATTCGGCTGGTGGCTCTGCAAATCACGGCCGCTTTTCTTCATAACCACTGCCTGATGTTTATAAAAACGGCTTGGATGACTTACTAGTTTTTTAAGTCAAAAAACCTGCAAAGGAAGTATAGATGAAAAAGCATTTAGGGAGCAGAATAAAAGTGGACCCATTTCAACTGGGCGATGCTAAGGAGTCTGCTTGGAAAGAAGACAGATGTGTTTGGACCCCAGGAGGCTTCCGTACGTGGCGTCCCATTGTCTGTGGGAGAGGAGCGTGTTTCCTAGGATCGAGTTTATAGGTCCAGCACGCGACTTGCTCTTCAAAACCATTTTAATTTGAATCATTGTACCAAAATAAGTTGTGAGGTGAAAGAACACAGTTTGACCCATAAAAATACCTGTGATTTCTGGACTTACCCACGGGTACTCCCTGAGGGCAAAGAGATACCTGGAGTCTTTTGAATCCCAGAAATAAGCAGAATGAGATTTTTTCCTTAAAAGAGAATTTTATTGTTGTTAGAACTGTATATATAAATATACTCAACTTCCTCTAGTACCAAAAAAAAGGAAGTCTAAAGCAGGAACCACAAAGTAGACACTGACTACTCTTACATTATAGCTCTGTTTACATCCTAAGTGTCATGCATCCCATTACACGTTATGGCGTGCTGCACAAATACCAGTGGTATTTTGAAAAGCGTCCTCAGCTCCCCGAAGCACAGCTGGGAACCCGCTGCTGTTCTCTTTCTCTGCAGCTCCTGCTTTCAGCCTCTTTCTGACAGAGTGGAGGCCCCGCCACCCCAACCACCACGTCTCCATCCACATGCCCCACGCCGTTTCCGGTTGAAATTTAAGAAGTCTTCAGTGTTTCCTCAGCTATTGTACTGTTATTTCTAGTGCAATTCTAATGTACATTTTTATGTTAAGACCTATTCAAAAGACCTATAAGAATACTAATTATTTGGATATTTTCCTGTCCGGTCATATGGTGATTATGAACCATTGACGACAGCAGGTAAAATTACGTTTAGCTATCTAAAATTATATCTGAATTTCACCTGTATCCCATTTTACCCAGACTGAGGCACCTTGATTGAAGAATCAATCTTCACTTTGATTAAATGAATAGTTATTAATAAAAAGTCAATGCAAACTTTCTTCTACCAAATGGGTCCATTGACCAGGTACGTGCAATGCAGTGCTGATCACAGATGAATCCGACATCTCTCTTGTGGTTTCTTCAGTTCTTTTGAAAACAGTTTTCAGATTAAACATAATTATGATGCATGCAGAATTCGGACTCCTGCAGAACATGGATTGTCCAGTTACTTCCATTAGTGATGATTATCCGTGTGCAAAGCGTGACCACTACTTACCATCTGTGTGTGTGCAGAGAATCACGTGGGAAGCAAATGCTTGTAACTTGCTCAGCACGGAGCGTGGCGTGGCTGAATGCTCGCCGTTGCTCTTGGGGCTACTGTCAGGTGTTTGTGATCTCTCTGTGTACGTGTAACTGGAAACCGTTCACTTTTCCAAGTAGGATGTAGGCGACAAAGTCTTCCCTGAGGAGTATTAACCCTAGAAACAGGCGATCAGGAGACCGCGGAGCCATGGGCCTGGGGACACCTAAGTCACAGCGGCATGGACAGCCGATGGGGGAAACTTTGTCACTGGGTTATTCGGACTTAGGCTCAGTTTGTTCCCTTATTGTAGAAAAAGGGTATTTTTTTCAACATTTATTTTCCTAAATACCTATCAAACACAAAGAGACAGCTGAAATCACCATCCTTTTACATTTTATTAAATTAAACAAACACATAACAAATACTCATGTAGACCCCAGGTCCCAGTTGTGGCTCTGACGAGGTTTCCTTCCTCGTGCTCCTGACAAATACAAGACTTACAGAGTGTGGGTTGGGTGTCTCTGGGCTTTCGGACGATGAGACATTTCATGCATCTGATGTGAGTCATCAATTTAATGCCCACCTTACGCATTCGGTGCCCTGGAGTTAAAGCTCCAACCAGCAGCCTGTCCGCACCGCCTGCTGGGGCGTCTTCGTAGGGGACTCAGCGCCATCTAGTGCCCCCGGGGAGAACAGCTGGTGGTCTGCCCGGCTCCCCCGCACCCTGCAGTAAATAACCACAGGGTATCCACACCGTTACTTCCTTCCTTGTACATCACTGGGTCCCGAAAACTCCAGCTCTTGCATAACTCCACTGTTTTCCACGTGAGTTACATCCAATCAAACCATATTACCTTTTGCCTTCTCACAAGGGCTCAATCCAGAAACGTTTGACTCCAGTGCAAAGCCATCACTTGCCGCTGGCGTTGGGTGACTATGCTTTCTGCAAGGGCCGGCGAGTTTTCTTAGGAGCCACTTGAAGCCGCAGCGGGCTTCTCACAGTACAGCCTGTCCTTTACTAGCCAGAACTGTTGTCATCTCGCCCTATTTTTGATTCTTCTCTTTTTCAGATTGTCTACAAAGCCTGGCTGTGTTCCCAGTACTTTGAAGTCGCCCAGCTTAACTGCAGAAAGACAATTCCTTGCAAGCAATACTGTTTGGAGGTTCAGACAAGGTGTCCGTTCATACTGCCCGACAATGATGAAGTGATCTACGGGGGACTGTCCAGTTTCATCTGTACAGGTACAGTGCAGGGCGGCTTTGGCCCCCAGCCGCTCACGGGGGGCTTGCTCTCCTGCGGCCTGCTTGTCTGCTGGGTTGGTTCCCTCCACTCATGTAGCCCTGAAGATGCGGTTAGGGGTTTTCCACGCTGCCCTCCACAGCTGTCCTGAAAGGCCCCTGAGACTGATGTGGAAATGCCACGTTGCGTGTTGTGTACGTGTGATCACGATTGTTAACTTTGTAAAAGGCTAATTCCGAGGACAAGATTTCAGCAATCAGATTTGCTTCGATCCGCTTAGAGTTGGTCGGGTTCTACCTGCCTCATCTTTGTGTTGGCCTAAGAACAGATGACGCGGTAAGAACAGTAAAATTGTGTCTCTTCTTCAGATCGGTCACAAGCTTATGTCCCAAGTCCATCTTCTGAGAAGTGTCCATCTAAGTTGTTCATGCATTAGAGCCGCATGTTACGGGCCAATGCAATGTAATCTTATATTTCCAATTAACGATGTTCACTTCCTTCAGCAAATGACTCAGACGGGGCAAAATGTCAACATTTGATTTCTGGATGTTTACAAGCATGACACCACTTAGACATAGAATAAGATGTGAGGGGTAAGAGCAGACTGCTTTGAAAATGAATGGTGAGCGGGCCTGGGAGGACCGTCCCCTTGGCCGTCATGATGTGGTCACCGGAGCTGTGGGTCTGGGTTCTCTCAGTGAGAAAGGACTACGTGATGTCCTGGTGACCAGACGGCCTGAGTTATGGCATGTTTAGTTTTCAGGCTTTAAGGACAAGACACTCATAAGTGAGAAGGAACATGAAAACCCTCTCCTTACACTAGACTTTGTGAAACCCTTCTAAGCAGAGTGACACATCGAGGTGTCCAACATGAGAATTTATCAGATTCTTTCTAGCTCACTTATTTCCAGGCCTGCCCATTGGCCATACTGTTCTAAGTGATGGCCTCTCCAGGGACAGTCCAGCAAGGATCTCCCCTTGGAGCCTGCCTTGACCCCGGACGAGTGCTTCCTGGTGGCCTAGCCACACGGGAGGAGCATCCAGATGGAGGCTGACAGACACGGCTTTCATCCTGCTTCTCTCATGCCTCCTCTCCGAGCCACCAGCTTCCCCTGAGGCAGTTCGTGATAGTGGTTCCCCCTTGCCCATCCGCCGGGAGGGCCACAGACAGGGGAGGAGCCCACGACACGTTCCTTAGGCACCGGCCGTCGTCCAAGAGGAAGTGATCTGAGGCAGGCAAAGGGACTGGCCAGTTCTTTTTGTTATGCTTTGGGTTGTGCTGAGGTCATTTTTCATACAGTTCCTCTCTACCCGGAGGACAAAGGGCGAGCAAAAGAAACAGAGACCGAGAGAAAGGAAGGAAGGAAGGAAAGAAGGAAGGAAGGAAGGAAGGAAGGAAGGAAGGAAGGAAGGAAGGAAGGAAGGAAGGAAGGAAGGGAGGAAGGAATTTATTAACATCTTCTTCCTTTGACTCTGAGCCAAAATTCACCAACCAGAGGCTATTCATTTATTTGTCTTTCACATAAAACTTTCAATAAAAGGTCATCGAGAAAAGACCTTTGACTCTTGACTTTGGGGGCAATGAGATGCCCATGGTTCCAGGACTTTGGAGAAACTTGTGGAATTTTCTGGAGAGGCTGTATTTTTGTTCATTCACATGCCTGTAGCTTTGTTCCTGGAGAAGTTCAGCGGCCCCACTCCCCCGCCAGGTTCTCAGAGCAGAAAACAACCTCAGACAAAGGGTGAGGCATTCATCTCCATCTTTCCCTGCTTCTTGGGCCCTTATCTGTTTGTGCAAATCTGAAATTCAGGTCTGGATGTCTGTCCCCTTCTCTGTACACTTTCATGGCTGTGGAAGAAGTGAGACCTGGGATTTTGTCTCTTTCTGCACAGCAGGTGCACAAAGTCCTTCTTACAGTTTTAATTGTCTTTGAGTGTTTTTAAGTCGGAGTTTTCATAGCCATCACTACATCACTGAGGAAAACAGACAGGAAAAGAGCGATCTGTCACCTGTCAGGTCCAGGGGGAAGGTTAGAAGCTTCCTTGGAGTCTCACGGCTGCATGTTTGTTAATCTGACTCCTCTGTTCCCCACTGTCAGTTGGGTGTCTGTTCTTTTTATTACTTCTCCAAAATGTGCAGAATAAATTCTAAAAGCATCTTAAAAGGAATTTACCAAGTGGGCTGGTCTTAAGCTTGCCTCCAGTAATTCTTCTCTTTAAAAAAAATTAATAAATGGCTTATTCCCATTCTATAGGCTGAAAAATATAATTATTTATCATCAAGAGGGGAAGGGATAGATGGCGTTTCTTTCAAATTCAACCTATTTAATTCTAGTTGTCTCCCTACTAAGGGAGATACACCCAGTTCACAGCTTCCAGAAGGGGAGGGGCCCCTCTAAGAGTCAGTCTCGGAGAAGGACTCTGAGCACAGGACTACAGAACTCCGTCTTCCAGATGCCGCCCAAGTGAGGGTCAGTTTTGTTCCAGGTGCTTCTCCCTGTAACGGTGTAAGGTCAGCTTTTTTTCTAGAGTCCTCTGTGTCCAGTCTTTCAGAGACTGGAATTACAGGACCCCCAATTCCTCCTGTCACGTAGGCTTTTATTAGACACGTACCGATGCTTGAAACTCCTGTCATCCACCAGAAAAAGTGCGTCTTGGCCCCTTGGAATCAGTGAATCAATTAGAAGGTTCAGAACACACAAAGTTTATTTAAATCAAGAGTTATTTAAAATGTTGAAAACAGTTATTAGATTCAACTTGTAGTGCGTCATTTCTTCAGGATGCTTACATTACTTACCCTGTGTGGGAATATTTTAAATGCCTATTTTTTTTTATTGTCTACCACTGCGGTCCTCAACAAGCCAGTAGCTCATCTGAAAGAACGATATATCTGAGCGTGATGTCCGTTGCTGCACGTTGGCTTCGACTGAGGCTGTTACAGCAGCTCCAAGACCAAGTGTTCTAACCACAGAACTAGAGGAAGGAAGCGCCTCGCTGTGTGTCAAGTTCTGCCTCCGTCTTAAGAGATGGAGGAGAGACACGTCGCCCTGGATCGCCCTTGGTTTTTCTATTAGAGAATAGAACTGACACATTACCGAAGGAGTGTTTGAGAAGTTAATTAGGGAGAAATTCGGAGATGCTGGCGGGGTGAGGCTGTCATGGGATGTCAGGCTTTATTGAGTTAAAACTTTTCAAGGTGGGTCCGTCCTCAAGCTGGGTTCACATCCTAGGCTGCTGGTTTAGAGGCTGTTTCTTCATCTTCAAAGTGACGGGGTGGAGTTATTCTCCTCTGTCAACCCGTCTTTGTGGTAATTACCCCTCCCCGCCCCCCGCACACTCCCTCGCCTTCTTCTCGAAACCCCTAGAGAAACCCTTGATTGCTTACCTGGGATGGTGAACCAACATTAACAAAACCGAAGGAGCCGGTCCCGCAGGCTGCGGGCGCCGTGGTAACAAGCATTATGAAAACTGCCACTTGATTGATGGATGAGAGAGACTCGACAGGGTTTGCTGCTGTATTTTTCATAGACAAGTTACTGAAAGAAAGAAAAAAGTAAGAGTCGATCTGCTGGGGATTACTGACAATGGAGATAAAACATATTTTGAGAATTCTGTGTAAATTCCGCCTTTCATTTTTCAGCTGTGACAAGGATAAGGTTATGTTTCCGCCTCTCGGGAAAACACCGTGGGCTGATGCTGGTGATGGTGACAGGCCTGGTGAGGATGTGGTGGAGGACGGCGCCCCCTGGTGGCGCGGCTGTGCCACCGCAGGGGGCCCAAAGCGGATTACTGCCTGCAGGCGAGGATGGGAGAAAATGCTTTGATATGCATATTGATCAAATCAGAAAGGAATTTTTAAAGATGTTTCATGTCATTCACATGAAAGAGTTCACAACAGTGAAAAAACATTACCCTAGTCGTGTTCTGAGAGGACTGGGGCGTTGATAAAGATTTTTAGAAAGATAACAGATTTTCTCACTAATGGAGTATTTTACTAGAAAATTCTGCTGCCCATAGATTTTAATTTGGACATCTATGGTATTTCTAATTACTCTACTTTCTCCAGTGTGTGGATATGTTTCATTCTTTTCTAAAAAGAAAAAATATTTTCTTAGAAGAAAAAATAATTTTCCATTCTTTTCAAGGTTTTTTGTTTTGTTTTGTTTTGTTTTTTCTGAAAGAAGAGTAATGAAATACCACTTCAGGGGGGAGGGTAGAGCTCAGTGGTAGAGCAGTTAGCATGCATGAGGTCCTGGGTTCAATCCCCAGTACTTCCACTAAAAAAAAAAAAAAAAAACCTAATTACCTCTCTCCGCCAAAAAAAAGAAAAGAAATACCACTTCAGTTATAGCACCTTATGAATCCATACAAAGTCTTTCAATGAAGATAAAAAACTTAGGCCCAAAGAGAAATGGGAGGGAAGACTATGATCAGAGTAAAATAAAAAATATGAAAATAAGTTATGTTTTAAAACTTAAGTGAACTATAGTAACATCACGTGTTTGGGACGGCGTCTTCCACTAAAACACTGCGCTTTTTGAGGCTTATTAAATTCATATATGTAGATCCGAGTTCAGGTCCTCGTATTTAAGACCGTCTTCCCTGGCTTCCCCCTCCGTGTGCTTTCCCTGCAGTTCAAGTTTGCCCTGAGCAAGGGACCAACGCAGGGAAGAGCCTGGAGTCGAAGTTAGGATGTGTGCATTCTGCCAGTAGCTGTGAATTTTGGAAAGTCACGCTCACTGGGTCTCCGTTTCCTCGTCTCACAAGCGGCGGACGCAGCCGGGCCTCCCCCGCGCGCCGGCTCGTGGAGGACGCAGCCGGGCGGCGCGAACGCGCAGGGCCCGCTCCGGGGAGGGCGGGGCCCAGGCCGGGCGGCGTGGGTGATCCGGAGTCGAATGTCGTCCTCCCCGGTCAGACAGATGTTAAACTAAAATTTTAGAGAGCTTCTCCAGAGCTAGGGGGACGGTGGGATGTACCCCGTCCTGCAGGTTCCCCGGAAGCC